GTTAGGTTCTGCCCAGTTGTTCCATCCCAGGCGTATTCTTAACACCGCCTCTGACTTTATAAATCAGACAAGTGGGGACATTTTGTGCTGAATGCTACATCGTTATATTTGTCTTCAATGTAGTGCGTAATTCAAATGGGGATAGAATGACACATACGATTTGTAAACGACCGCAAAAGATCGGAAAGAGTCTCTGGATAGGGAATTGCAAAAGAACTTCTCCTCAAGAGGCTGGAATGACACGAAAGATATGTATAGAGCTCAGAAGAACATAGATTATCTGTGTAATATATATATATATATATATATATATTCCAAACCCTAACCCTAACGCCCAGTAAACCCTAACACTGTACATAAACGTGCGTACAGCACATACATATATCTTAGTCTCAAGCCAAATTTACATTTATTTATTTTTCCTTTGAAAAACTATAACGTGCAAATTAGTTTTCCCATGTGGTCAAAGAGCTAGCAATTCTTTTCTCAGCCATATTCATTTAACTGTTATATTTCTAAAAAAATCATTACAAGTGGGATTTTTAGATTAGCCCGTCCATCCAGGTCTCTTCATGAAGGAGTGACATAATAAGAGGTATTGAAAAAAAAACACATTACAATGTTTCTATTAATATAGTTATCAAAGCCTTCCAATCAGTTGCCTAATCCTTCATTCATTTAGCAACATCGTTAGTCATTTAGGATAAATATCCCTAGAGCACTACACTCATTCCAAGTTTCGAAAGAAAGGGCGATAACCAATTTTTACAAAACTCAATAAGTCTGGAGATTAATGCACTTAATTTTATTGAAGCTTTTTTATGTACCAGTAACGTCTGAAAGTGAAAAGAGAACAGAAGATAAAAATGTGCTGAACCGAGACCAATTATTATAGAAGACCTTAATACTAACCTGCAACATTACAACCTGTGGGCAGTGGAGACAAGGAACTCTTCGCCACTTCACAGGTCTGTTCAGGTAGGGCTATACTATAACGAATGGTATTGGCCGTAATGTTGCATAATGCTGTGCCACAAAATGCATTCTGATAAAAATTATAGATGTAAATTTCTGGTGTAAAACTGGTGTTTAAATCTTTGTCTTTATGATTTATTTAGACTTCTGTTAGCTAAATGCTACTTCTAAAAGTCTCTGTCTTGAGAAAAACGAGATGAGAAATCACCTACATCATTGTTTAAATCTTCTTGTTAAAGATTTTTAAGGCTCGTGGTAAATGAGTGTTAATGAGCTTGACTTCTAAGCCGAGCGGTAATGACATCGACTCCTGGTGAAAACAGAGATTCTGAACTTGGATTTTTAGCTGAAATAGTCCCCTCTATAAGTCGCCGCTTTAAAGTTTGTAACTAACAATAGTGTACTACAAAACATTCTATTTTCATGAGCGCATCGCTAGAACAGTTGTAGAATTTTACCGTGGGGAGATTTTAAGCAACAAGTTCAAATTCAGGTGGTCCTCCCTTTTTAAATTTATTTTTATTAAAGCAATTAAAAAGCGATCACCCATATACCCCATTCTTTCTCCCCCAACCCTTTCCCAACTGATCCAGGCAAGTGATAGTATCATAGCGTATTGGTAAAGCTTAAAGCATTACATATCGCTTAACAAAAACAATTGATGAACATATTTCTAATCATACAAATTTATTATACTTATTCTAGATCTATTACAAATTTAATTACATTATTGATCCAAAGTAATAGACACAGCTTCTCATAGCATGAGCTATGATTAAAAACAAGCTTATAAAGAACCTGTGTTATCACACAAACTCAGTGCGGCCCCCGTCGGATCCCTATCGGATAGGTCTATTTGCAAGGAATATTCAAGACTTGATTTTGTTTTGATTGTAAAAAGTAATAATGTTTCAAAAAAATAAATAAAGGATTGTATATATATATATATATATTAGCGTGGTTCAGACTTTAATGTAAAAGAAATTATTTTTAAAAATCGTACAGCATTGTTGTTTTTTTATTTACATATTGTGTGCAGATTACGAAAATGTAAGACTTTTAACAGTTGTGTTACATTTGCTTGGTGCTCAACTTTCACAAAGGTTGCCATTATTATCAAGAACTTAATTTAATTAATTTTTTATCAATTAATAGTTATTCTAAAAATTAAATGTTGTTGTTCTTTTTATTTCAGATCTATTCTTGTAAAATTTAAACATTTGTAATGGCGTCAAGTACAACAGACAATTCTGGATGTGTTACAACAAGAAGTATGTCAGAATTATGGTTAATTGGACAGACAGAGCCGTGTTTACCACAGAATGTTCTGCCCACTTATGGTCAAGTATTACGAACTGTTCTTCACAATACCAAGATATTGAAAAAACAGAAGACAATATCATACAGTGTGCAACAAACAGTTGATGATCTTCTCAGAATTTGGAGCAATGCACGCGTTCCTGTAGCCTTACGACAGAACATAGTAACAAAAATGAACGCTTTAGTGGATGAGTATAATTTATTGAAGAAAAATAAAGGAAGATGTTCAGCTACACAAAGTGACAGAGAGACAGTGTTTAAAAACAAGCTGAGTATAATATTTGATATAGCAGATAAGGATGCAGACAGGATGATTAAGATAGAAGAAGACCGGATTTTCTTAACAGATCAGAGAGGACCTAGATTAATGAAAATGGCAGGCATCGACAAGAACTTAACTAGACAGGAAGAGAGAAGTAGGCAAAGAAAGGAGGCAGAATATGAGAGAAGAAAGCGTGAGCAGACAAGAAAAGCAGGAGAAGCAAGTGTCACTGTCAGCACCTGGCAAGAAAGTGGTAGTGAAAGTAATGACAGCATGGACAGTTTGGACACAGATCATGATGATTATGAAATTGAAATTCCAGTCTACTATAAAAAACAAGTTGCAGATAGTTTAAGACCACATGAAAACGAACCGAAGAAACCACGCATTCTACAGACCATGTTGAATTCAAGTGATGTATCATCCACTCTAGATCGTATTAATCTCTCCGACAGAAAATTTACGGTTTTAGCAGCTGCTATAGCCAGAGCAAATGGGGAGGATGTTGGTACAGGATCTCTATCAAGGTCGACAGTGCATCGTAAACGTTCTCTTCATCGAAGTATGATTGAAACGGACGTTCGTGAAGAATTTCGCACGAGAAGTAAAAGTGTTGCAGTAATTCATTGGGATGGTAAAATTATGGAAAATAGCACCGATAAAAATAATCCAAAGGCAGCCACTGATAGATTAGCTGTAGTTGTAAGTGGTCTTGAATTGGAGAAGATGCTAGGAATTATAAAAATACCTTCTGGAACTGGTGAAGCACAAGCACATGCAACAATGCAGCTTCTGTTGTTGTGGGAGGTGGCTGATGATGTCATAGGAATGAGTTTCGACACCACTGCTACAAATACCGGGGTCAATAAAGGGTCATGTAAGTTATTGCAGGAGCGGTTAGGACGTAATTTATTGTATTTTCCCTGTCGACACCATATACTTGAGCTAATAATTGGAGCTGCATTTGGCACTTTATTTGGTCCCACTACCAGTCCCGACATTCCACTGTTTCAGAGATTTAAAAAAGCATGGCCAAATATTGATCAGACTGTTTATAGGCCACTTGATGATCCACGAGTAGATGATCCAAGTGATCCATTCCTACAGGAACTAAAACATGCGACTGTGTCATTTCTGCAGAACATGTTGTTGGCTAAATCTGGTTACATGCCACGGGAAGATTACAGAGAGGTTACTGAACTTTGCTTGTTGATACTCAATACTTCTGTTTGTGACCAACCATACTCTTTTCGTGCACCAGGTGCTTACCATTTGGCACGCTGGATGGCTAAGTTGAATTATAGTTTCAAGATCTACCTTTTCAGAGACCAGTTCAAAGTAACACCCAAAGAACTGAAAAGTTTGAGAGAATTTTGTTTATTTGCGAGTCTCATCTATGTGAAAGCTTGGATCGCTGCTCCTGTGACTTGTGACGCTGCAACAAATGATCTTGTTCTATTCCGAGAGATCTGTCAGTATGCTCGCATTAACAAGGCAGTGGCTGATGCCGCAAGACAGAAGTTAGAAAAACATCTCTGGTATATTAGCCCAGAACTCATTTCCTTTGCCCTGTTTTCAGAGAAGGTTCCTGTAAGTGAGAAACGCAGCATAGTCAGAGCAATGTCTCAGGCTGGTGATGATTGGAGTGACAGGGCAATCAAACTGGAAGATTGCACTGACTTAGCGGTAAAAGAACTGCATGCGTTAGTGGCTGCTTCTTCAACCAGTGCACTGCGTTCCATTGGAATTGACATAAGCTTCTTGCATGTCGATCCGGAAACCTGGAACGATTTGCCTGCATATGTTCAAGCGAAGTCTGTTATTGGTGCCATAAAAGTAGTCAATGATAGTGCTGAACGTTCGGTGGCATTAATGAATACATTTAACAAGTCTATAACTAAAAGTGAAACAGAAATGCAAACTCTTCTGCAGGTTGTTGAAGACAACAGAAAACGGATACCAGATTCACAGAAGAGTACATTGACATCATACAAGACACGTGGGTCCGCTGACTCTGCTGGGTCCAGTACCAGAACATAGTTTGTGAAGCGGTTATATAAATAATAACAGTGAACTAGTGACATTAGTGACAAAGTGTGACAACTGTGAGTGTGGCAATGATTACATTAATTGTAATTGTATTGTAATATGGTAATATTATATTGTATGTTACTATGTCCTAAACTTTGTCTTATTGTCTTTTATTTGCTATCATTGGAAAAATTGGACAATTTGAGCATATATTTCAGCTTGTCAGAATCGTGTAATTTTTGGCTCAGACGTTAAACTCATCAATAGGAACAAATTGAATCACAATGCATGATAGATTCATAGAAATTTTTTTTTTGAACCACCCTAATATATATATATATATATATATATATATATATATATTTGTTTATTTTGTTCCTACTTACAATCTTTCCCTTCCCTTCCCCCCCCCCCCCCCCCTTTTTTCTCTCACTAACACAACACAAAAGAAACACGTTCATGTAATTTTGTTTTATTTGCTCATATCAGTCGTGGCTCAGTTCATTCTTCATGACGTCATGTTCAAACAGCATTCAGAGGTTCTACAACTATCTCCCAGAAAAGCATCTTTCGTTTAACTGCCTTTCTGTTTAGCGTTTCATTTCCTCTAGCTTGTTTTTATTTATTTAAAATTTCTGACAGCAGTCGTCTGAGGGAGTTAAGATGTTATAACAGCCTGCAAACTCTTTTTTAGGGGATTGGGAAGAACTGCGTCACAGTTTTCAAAATCGTTGTTTGGAAAAGAAGGTGGGTTGGATCAAGATGTTGAAACAGCATGTCAGTTTGTTAATTAGTTGAAAGTGGTGGGGAAAGTCAAGTTGCTGGAACAGCATGTAAATATTCATAAACGATGTTTCGAGGGATGATGTTAAGATGTTGGAACAGAATGTTAGCATTGAAACACGTTTTTGAATGGCTTGGTTTCAGATGTTGAAACAGCATGTCAGTTTGTTAATTAGTTGAAAGTGGTGGGGAAAGTCAAGTTGCTGGAACAGCATGTAAATATTCATAAACGATGTTTCGAGGGATGATGTTAAGATGTTGGAACAGAATGTTAGCATTGAAACACGTTTTTGAATGGCTTGGTTTCAGATGTTGGAACAGCATATCAGTTTTCAAACACGTCGAGGGTTTTAAAAAAAAATAGGACAGCGTTTCACGACGTCTGGGTATTAAGCCAGGATTCACTAAGTACATGCTTGTTCCATGAACCTTCAAGCTCTGAAATAAAAAAATTTGAATGACATAAAGCCTAAAAATAGCTTCAATCAAGTCAAAACTCTAAACAAAGTTGATAACTATTGCTCATCATACAATTTTCTACTTTAGGCTATTGCAGTCTTTAATCGTACGTCTAATTCATGTTTTATATTAAATCTTCGTTACAAAGATGTAAAGGATTGGTTTAGTGACCTATGTAAATATTGCACATGTACTGGTCAACAAAATGTAAAGGTAATACTTGTTGTTAATGTGTGTAATATTGAAGAATGAGGGGTTTCGTGCGTCCACTTAGCACGCAACGAACATAAACAGTAAACAAAGTCGATCTTCAGCAGACAAACACGAGATCCATTCAACAATAGCATTAATGTACCGCACTTCTAGTCGTTTCACCAAAATATCCAGTTGCAATATAACCACATCCGCACAATAGCAATACCAAACATACAAGTCCTCTAATTCACAACCTCACCACCAGAACACATCCGCATCACAGCGGGCAACAACAAAATTCAACAATACGTCTCCAACTCCAAACACGGAAAACAACCACTAGAAATACGTGCACTGTCTCAAAAGACTTCAAACAACCACCGCCTTCAACTGCCCAAAAGATACTACCCTCCCCAAGTGACCAAAAGACACTACTGACTAAAAGTCAATTTAATCATTCTTACTTTCTTTATCTATATCAGGAGTTTCACGTGTCTTTCACCCTCGTGACCCGAGGTGAACATATAACAGACAATGTCAACCGAGACTGTGACAAAAGATCATATTATCTCACTTCCGTCTCTTTCTGTCTGTCTGGCAGGATTCTTTGACACCTTTTATTTCCTCCTACTATCCATTTTCGGATCAAGTTAAAATTTTACACAATCATTTTGGATGGCGGCACGACGTGAGTCAATGAAAACATGAACCGATTAATTGATTCAGAGACAAGGTCAGGTCATTAGTTGGGGAAAAGTAAAGGTGGTTGGTCGTTGTGCTTGCCACATGACACCCTCGTTAACCGTAGGCCTCAGAAACAGATGATCTTTACATCATCTACCCTATAGACCACAAAGTCTGAAAGGGGAACTAATCCAGAGACACCCAACCTTCTTCAGACCGCGGGCCAAATAAAATCCCCACACTCGTGTCGCTGCCCAAATCATTGTGAAAATAGAAATGCAATAGCGCAGGCGACATTCTGATTATAAACAAGTTGCATCCAAGTTATTTCTATAGCAACTAGTTGGATGTTTCAAGTTGTTTTACCTAAACCAACTTCTGAATGACAGTCAGCAAAGCAAATACTGCATTAAAACAGACATGCTTTGTGTATGTTGTACAAACAGTAAAAATCTGTCCACTTTACTTTTATTGTGTACATTCAAAGTCCAAGTTTTTGCTCAGCATTCCCATATCATCAACACTCCAATGTTGACCAGCAAGCTACCACTCACGTTGGTACCAAAAGAGGTCAACTAAAAATGCCGAGGACACGGTTCGGAATTTTTAAAAATGTATTTTACATTCCCATTTATTATATTGTGGACTGAAGTTCTGAAGGCCGGATAGACCTGCATCGCGGGCCGAATGGGGTTAGGCATCACTGAGTTAATTGCTTAGTGGTTATTTTTTTTAAGTCGTAAAAAATAGCCAGTTTCATTTCAAGTGCACACACAGCAATGGAAGAATAGACAATAACAATCCATTTTTCAATGGTCTTTGGCGACCTCTGGCAAATTGTCAATCGACCCCCAAGGGGGTCGCGACCCACAGGTTGAGAACCCCTGTTGTAAGAGTTTGCACAGCTGAGCGGTCATTTGAAAAGTAGAGATTGATACAAATTATTTTTAAAAGTCCTATGCCACAGATCAGTTTGGCTTCACTAGCTGTTCTTTCCATTGAGCGATAAACAGTCAAAAACTTAAGCAAAAGATACACGGATGTCTGACGTTGATACTCAGACGGCCAGAAACTTTATAAAATAAATATTTATTCATCTATTTACTGTTAGATGATGAATGCATTATCATCCAAGCATTGTTTTAATCTTCTATACTTTGTCTTCTTTCATAATAATACCTCCCGACTGTTTTTTCATTGTTTAAATCCAGCCACCCCCTTCTGCTGTTAAATTATGAGCATAGAATAGGATTATAATTTTTATCAACGTTTAATAATTAGAAATATTTTCGGAATGTAGCGCCTATATAAGCCATTTGTTGTTTAATAATGTTAAGAAGTTATAGGCTACACACATTGCATTATTAATAATTATTAATGTCAGTATTAATTGTATGGAGTGCTAACTAAATCAAGCATAATGACATTATCCATAATGACATTATCACTTATATAAAATGTAGCCTACACCATTTGCGTTGGTATGACATTTGGTAAATGTCCATATACAGACTACACGATTTTTTTGTCACACACCAATTTTGTCTTATTGAGGGAGAGGGCCCAACAGCATATTCTTGAACCCGGGCCCACGGGTACCCTGCAACGCAACTGGATCTAGCCTTGACATTGCGTAGAACAAAATCAGAGTTAACAGACCTAGATCTAGATTTTTAGCCTAGAAATTGTTAGGAGAACTAAACAGACCATAGACTCTCTGGAGTCTAGATCTAGCCAAGAAATTTTTAGTAGATCTTAACAGATCATAGACTTTCCTTGTCTAGATCTAGTCTAGAAATTGTGTAGTAGATTTAGAACAAAACAGACTATCGCTTAGACTTAGGGCGTCTTAGGGCTAGGGTTACTAGGATCTAGTATCATCTAGATCTTGATCTAGATCTAGTATCAACTAGTAACATGAACATTTAGTATCATCTAGATCTAGAAATGTCTAGATCTGATGTTAACTTACAACGTCTTTTCTTGGAGTAAGTTGTGTACGCAATGTAGATGATGAACACTACAACAGCGTACGTAGCGATCGTAATCAGCATGTTTGAGTCTAGATCTAGAGTCTAGTGGGTTTTTTTGTTTAGTCTGACTTTAGTTTAGAGCCGAAGGATAATGATGAGGTGCTGAGTCCACGACTGGTGACAAGAACGCGGCGCGCACGTTCGTAAGGTGCCAACTAGTGCAATGCCAAAATAAGATATTTGAAAATCGAAGACATTGCCATTTATGTATAGGTCTAGAATCTGGAATCTAGTTCTTCCCATTTTCAAATATCTTATTTTGGCATTGCACTAGTTGGCACCGATAAAGAAGTCGTTCGGAAAGGTTATTTTCTGGCATACGGACTACATTTCCCACCTATCGAAATTTGGACCTTTGGACAGATGCAGAAGACGGCTAAAAAACTTAAATAGTCCTCCAGCGGATAACGGCTTTGTCTGCATTATATGAGGGGAAATATGTAGGTCACAATTAGGTTTGCGTAGTCATGTGAAAAACTGTACTCATCCTTAATCCTCGGAATCGTAGACATTGCCATTTATGTATAGGTCTAGAATCTGGAATCTAGCTCTTCCCATTTTCAAATATCTTCTTATCTTATCTTATATAATACAGACGTTACTTCAAAAAAGAAGATGATTACGTCCTACGCGTCATGCATTTAGTCATGCATATTAACCAATGACTTAAATTCTGCCAAGTCACTGATTTTTCTGGCTAGCTCAGGCAACCCATTCCATGCTCTAATAGCAAACGCTGGAGGACTATTTAAGTTTTTTAGCCGTCTTCTGCATCTGTCCAAAGGTCCAAATTTCGATAGGTGGGAAATGTAGTCCGTATGCCAGAAAATAGCCTTTCCGAACGACTTCTTTTTTTTCGATACCATTCGCGATTCTACTCACCATGCATGATGTTGTATTTGTAGTGGGGACAGGCAAAGACTTTTTAGTATGTGAACAAACTTCTACATCTTCGGATCGTGAAGGGCTTATCTTGTCAATATTTCAGTCATATTGATTTTATTTTGCTTTCTTATCACTTCGTCTAGATCTGATTATAGATGTAAATATTTTTTTAAATAAACAACAAATTTATCCGAAAATATTAGAAGATATCTGAACTAGTAATTCACTTAATCTTGTATGGTGATTCTCTCAAGTTTTAAACTGTTACCTTAACCCCCCCCCCCCCCCCCCCCAACTAATGTTAGCGTAAACTTTTTTGAATCTCATCGCAGAGTGTACCCCAAATCTATCAACATGTACCCCCCAGAGGTAACGGCGTGTGCTCCCAAATCTTTCGCCGTTCCCAACACCATGATATGCACCCCTGCATACGCCACAGATGAAATGATTTGCGACAATCAGAAGGCAAGTTTTAAAACAAAAATCTTAAAAACTAAAGACAAACTTGAAACAAAATGGAATTATTTTTAAAAATGCAAAATATTGTAAACTCAATCATTTACTAGATTCTGTTTACTAAAGAAGCTGAGTTCAAATTTCGGTGAAGATTTAAAGATGCAGAGCACCTCTGAGACCCTCTTACTACATTATCTGAGCATTAAGTGGGAGTCGATTTTTAAATAAAAATTATTTTTTTTTGTTTTGCTTTCTTTATTTTGCTATTCGAGTTCTATAATAATATTTTGTTTTTGAAGCATTTTAATTGTCTCT